TTTCTGCAGAAGGATATTTGGAATCCATTCAATGATAAGAAATACTAACTCAACCTCAATTAAGCAAAATGCAATCCTCCAGATGTAATACCAAAAAAAAAAAAAAGGTACTCAGTTATTATATTTTTAATTTCATCAATAAAAACTTGTAGCAGTTTGTTTTCCTTGGTTCTTCAATTATCTACATTAATACCCCTGGCCTTGCCCCTTGGCCCACAAAGCCTAAAGGATTTACCATCCAGCCTTTTACAGGAAAAGTCTGCAGCACTCTGGCTCCAGAGGCATCTCCGTGTCATCCCTCATTTGGCCAGGGAATTTCTAAGTGTCATGGATTGAATTATGTCCCCCAGAAATGTGGGTATCAATTTGACTGGGCCATGATTCCCAGCACTGTGTGGTTGTCCTTCATTTTGTGATCATAATTTTATGTTAAAGAGGATTAGGGTGGGACTGTAACACCACCCTTACCCAGCTCACATCCCTGATCCAACGTAAATGGAGTTTCCCTAGGGTGTGGCCTGCACCACATTTTATCTTACAAGAGATAAAAGGAAAAGGAAAACAAACAGAGAATGGGGGACCTCATACCACCAAGAAAGCAGCGCCGGGAGCAGAGCGCATCCTTTGGACCTGCGAGTCCTACTCAAAGAAGCTCCCAGTCCAGGGGAAGATGGATGACGATGAAGACCTTCCTCCAGAACCGACAGAAAAAGCCTTCCCCTGGAGCTGACGCCTGAATTTGGACTTCTAGCCTACTAGACTGTGAAAAAATAAACTTCTCTTTGTTAAAGCCATCCACTTGTGGTATTTGTTATAGCAGCACTAGATGACTAAGACACTAAGCATCAGTGAAAACACTCTAATTATGACAAACAGACTTGATTTTCATCTGTTTTATCTTATATAAACTTTTCTGTGTCATCTTTTTAAATAACACCTTTACTGAGATATAATTCACACACCACACAATTCACACATTTAAAGTGTATAATTTAATGGCTTTTAGCATAGCCAGAGTTGTACAACCATCACCACACTCAATTTTAGTGCATTTTCACCACCGGGAAAAGAATCCCTGTGGCCATTAGCAGTCACTCTCCCATCTCCCCCCGCCCTCCAGCCCCAGGCAATCACCCATCTAGTTAACGTCCCTGTGCTGTTGTTGTTGGGTGCGGTGCGTCGGTCGGTTGCGACTCATAGTGATCCCGTGAACAACAGAACGAAACACTGCCCAGTCGTGCGCCAGGCTCACAATCATTGTTATGCTTGAGCCCACTGCTGCAGCCGCTGTGTCAATCCACCTCGTTGAGGGGCTGCCTCTTTTTCACTGACCCTCTACCAAGTATGATGTCCTTCTCCAGGGACTGATCCCTCCTGTCAACATGTCCAAAGTATGTAAGACATAGTCTCGCCATTCTTGCTTCTAAGCAGCATTCTGGTTGTACTTCTTCCAAGACAGACCTGTTCATTCTTTTGGCAGTCTATGGTATATTCAATATTCTTCACCAACATCACAATTCAAAGGCTTCAATTCTTCCGACTTCCTTATTAATTACCCACTTTTGCATGCATGTGAGGTGACTGAAAACACCATGGCTTGGGTCAGGCCCACCTTACTCCTCAAGGGACATCTTTGCTCTTCAACACTTTAAAGAGGTCTTTTGCAGCAGATCTGCCCAAGGCAATGAGTCTTCTGATTTCTTGACTGCTGCTTCCATGGGTGTTGATTGTGGATCCAAGTAAAATGAAATCCTTGACAACTTCAATCTTTTCTCCATTTATCGTGATGTTGCTTACTGGTTCAGTTGTGAGGATTTCTGTTTTCTTTATGTTGAGGTGTAATCCATACTGAAGGCTGTGGTCTTTGATCTTCATCAGTAAGTGCTTCAAGTCCTCTTCACTTTCAGCAAGCAAGGTTGTGTCATCTGCACAACGCAGGTTGCTAATGAGTCTTCCTCCAATCCTGATGCCTCACTCTTCTTCACATAGTCCAGTTTCTCGGATTATTTGCTCAGCATAATGTCCCTATAGAGATGGCTTTTCAGGACATTTCATACAAATTTTCCACATTACTTTTTTACATTTTCACTCGCGTTCCTTCAATACTTTAAAACAAGAAGAATTAACACCAGAGTGTGAGCCTCAGGAGGCTCTGACTTCTCTGACATGGCCTCTTTCCCACGTCATGGAATTTAGCCCACCCATGTCGCCCCACTGGCTGTGCTCTTTGCTCTGTCCCATGTGGATTAAAGATGTTCTGGATTTCCCCTTACAGAAAGGCTAAGTGACTGAATGTTCCAAGGCCAGGAAACTGGTGCCCAGTGTCCAGGGGTCCTAATCCTCCCAGCTTGGGGCCTCCAAGTTGCTAAGTTGTGACATGGGAGGAATCAGCCCAAATATTTTCATAGACTGTTGGTAATATGAATCTCTGACATAGGACGAAAAACTGGTAAAATCACTTAACAAATTGCCCCTGAGAATTATGGCATAATATTTAAACATTTCGTATCAACTAAAGTTCTTATGGAGCCCGGTGGCCTAGTGGTTAAGAGCTCGGCTGCTAACCAAAAGGTTGGTGGTTTGAATCCACCAGCCGCTCCCTGGAAACTCTATGGAGCAGTTCTACTCTGTCCTGTAGGGTCACTATGAATCAACTGGACGGCAATACTTGACCTCACCAGTTAAGCATTTGAGTTCATTATTGGTAACAGGTCCTCTGACTAGAAACCACCGCTTCACGCTGCTTGTCAGAGTAATTAGCTATAATGACTTCTAACGGGCCCTTGGGTTCTCTCCTTACTTATTCAAGAGCCACAGCATTTAAATCACCTCATGTGTTCTAGTTATTGCCTGCTGCATTCCAAACAACTCCAGTTTACTGGCTTAAAACAACAACAATCATTTTATTCTCTCTCGTGATTTCTGTGGGCCAGGAATTCAGGAAGGGGTCCCCTAGGTGGTTCTGGCTTACGGTCTCTCAGCAGTTCAGTCGGACGACGGCAGGTGCTGTGGGATGGCCTGGCCAGGCATCTCTCTCCTCAGGTCAGGGCCTCTCCACACGGTCTCCCTGTTGGGTCTCCCTGATGGGTTCCTCTGTGCTTCTTCACAGCATGGTGGCCTCAGGGTGGTACAGCTTCTTCATCAGTGGCTCAGGGCTCGAGGGCAGTTGGCCAGCCAGCCAGGTAGAAGCCACATCACCTTTTATGATTTAGCCTCAAAAGTCACCTAGTGTCACTTATGCCGTACCCTAATGGTCAGCCAGTCACTGAGGTTTGGCTCAGTTTCTGAGGGAGGAGCCACAGAATCCGCCTCTGGACGCAAGGAGGGTCACGGAACTTGCAGAAACGTTTACAACTGCCACTACCTACGCAGAACGAGGTTCCTTCTCTGGTTTATGCAGTTACTCTGGGAAGAAACATCACTTCTCCTCTCTCTTTACATTCGTGTTGTTTTCCTCCTCGTTTCATGATCCTCTTAAGAGTTTCTAAAAATTACAATTTCAGCTCTAAATATTTTGCTTGGTACTGACGCTTTGTGTAAATAGACCAATTCTTGAGTCAGGCCCCAATATTTCCAGCTGCTCTGCTCTAATTCTGCCTACTTCCTGTTTGTTGCCTTTTATTTCCTGCACTTCCTGTCAAAGGGCTTTGTCCACCGAGTTGTAAACCACCACTCTGGCCTAGGTACTGTGTTCTGTTTCTGAACCTCAGTGGTCTTGAGCAAGAGGACGCATACGGTAACTATAATACAGGAAGTGAAAATTAAAATACTGTCTTAACTTAATACTGAGAGAAGAATTAAATGCCCTCTTTAAGGAAACAGATATTTTAGGGAGGACCATTTTCCAGGAGCTTAAACCTCAAAGTCAGTTCACCTTCTCAACAGTGAACTGCTCCAGCTCCAAAGGTCATAATTCCAAGTGATAGCAGGCCTGGCTAGGGTTCTTTTACTGACAGTTGTGTATCTCCCACGGTGTTTGGGGCTGAAATAACAGCAACCTCAACTCAGCCCATAAGGGGATATTTATTATTTCACATAACAAAAAGTCTGAGGTGAGATGACTCCAATTTAGGAACCAACCATGTCATCAAAAACTGAGATTCCTTCTCGATTGTTCTGCTCTAGTATCTTCAGCATGTTGGTTTTATTTTTAACTACTGGTCTTAACAAGGCTTCTAAAGTCAGCTGTCACATGCAGACACAAGTTCAGTGTCTCTGGGTGTCTCTTTTCAGGAATGAAAAACCTATTCCAGAAGCTGCCTAGCTAATTTCTCCTCATGTTACATTGGTCAGAATTGTATCTTTTGCCCACTCCTGAACCAATCCCTGGCTCAAGAATGGGATTTGTTGTCTTTAGCTGCCATTGAGTCCATGCACAGCACGATTGGACCGTTGTGATCCACAGGTTTTCACGACTGGACGGTTGTGATCCACAGGTAGACTGTCAGACCTTTCTTCATAGTCACCTTAGTCTGGAGGCTCGGCTGAAACCTATTTGGCATCACAGAAACATGCAAGCTTCCAATGACAGACGGGTGGTGGCTCTGCTAGAGTTGCACTGACCAGAAAGCAAACCCAGGTCTCCCACTGAACCACCACTGTCCCCTCAAGAATGGGATTGCCATGACTGATTTAGAGAAGCACACACATTTGTAGCTGGATGGAAGTTACCCAAACAAATCAAGGTTCTGTCAGAAAGGAAGAACGGGAGAAACAATTGTTCGTTTGACAAGGGTCTTATAATATTTAGAGTTACTATAATGCAAAGGGAGAACTCCCTTCCCTGGAATCCTGAGATCGCCGAATGGCCCCGCAGTGAATACAGTTGCTCAACACAGAACTCTGCAAGTTTTCTTCACCTCTGTCTCCCAAATGTGTATTTCCTGCCAACCAATCCAAGCCCATTGCTGTCAAGCCAAATTCCAACTCACAGAGACCCTGTAGGACAGAATAGAACTACCCCACAGGGTTTCCAAGGGTGTAATCTTTCTCCCGCGGACTGGCTGGTGGGTTCGAACTGCCGACCTTTTGATTAGCAGCCAAGCGCTTAACCACTACGCCACCAAGGCTCCTCCTTTATTTCCCAAAGCCGCTACCTTAATTCAAGCCCTCATCTTCTCTACCCTCCATTATTATGATCATTTTCTTCTAATCTTGGAATTAAGACTAAGTGTGTGCCTCTGGTCCTGCACTCCCCTTCCCTCCATCTTCCACTCTGCTGAGAGGGTGAGCTTTCTCTCATGGATCACCCAGGTGTTCTCACTGGGACTCACATGCTGGGATAAATGAGTTAAACACCACTTCCACTGTCCACCTCCTCACTGACATGAGTTAACTTACATGGTGAATGTAGCTGCAGAAGTATGGAAGAGGTCTGGTGCAAGGATGCTCAAGAGATACATGGGAAAGTAAGGACAGTGGAGAAGATGGGGTGGTATCTGCTGCTACCACCAGTCTGATGATGGTCTGGAGTGACAGTGGAGAAGGGGTCAGGGCCAGAAGATAAAGGAACTGTACTCATGACAGAGTCTGTGAGACTTTGGGCACAAGCAATCCTTTTTGGGGCCTAAGTGACAAAAGGTGAGACAGTGTTGGGCAGAACAGGAAATCTTCTGAGCTCAGCAAAGCAGGAGGGAAGACCCAATGCCCCACTGCGTCCTGCTCCCCCTCCCGTTTCAGCACGAATCACCTTGTACTGGAATGGCAGGTCTGTGTGCCCCCTGGACTCTAAGGTCCTTTATGCTGGGACACAACATGATTTGTCCTTTATGTTTCTACTGCCTAGCACAGTGCTCGGAATGTAACAGGTACACAATCATTTAATACCTAATACCTAGAGATGATACACTGTCACTCCTATAAATACTAGGGTGATGCAATGTTTACCCATTTATGCTTCATTAGGTATTTACTGCACATCTACAATATTCAGGGCAGTGTACTAATCACCATGGAGAATAAAAGTTAATAAGATACAGTGGATGCCTTCAATGAAAAAACAGAAGGATGATTCTCATTTTTCCCACAGAGACAATGGCCTGAGGACTTTTGGAAAAAGGGCATGAAAAAGGACAGCGAGCCTGGAGGCCTAAGCACTCCACACATCAGCATTTTTATTCGTAAGACTACGGCTACTAGTCAGCTAAGAAATATGTTCATATTGGTTTATGTCTTGGACCGTATTTTTTAATTGCGGTATATACATAGGTAACAAAACATCTGCATTGTAAGTCTTCACACGTACAGTTCAGTGGCATCAATTATGTTCACCGCGTTCATCGGCCGTCACCCGTATCCATTCCCAAACTATACCATCGCCCTTAACGAAGCTCAGTGTCCTCTAGACACTGAGTCCCCCTTTCTGCCCCCTCCTGCCCACCCTTGATAACCACTAATCAACTCTGATCTCTACACACCTGCCTATTCTAGGGATCATTTATATGAAATATTTTTCTTCTGTGTCTGATGTATTTCTCTCAGCATAATGTCTTCAAGGTTCATCCATGTTGCAGCGCGGATCGGGACTTCATTTCTCTTTATCTCCACTGCAGGTGCACACCACCTTCTGTTTATCCATTCGTCTGTTGATGGGCATTCAGGCTGTTTCCACTTTTTGGCTATTGTGAGTAATGCTACAATTAACACCGGTGTAAAAGGATCTGTTTGCACTCCTGCTTTTCATTCTTTTTGATCTACACCTAGAAGGGGGATAATTACTGGACCATATGGTGACTGTTCAACTTTCTGAGGAACTGCCACGGTTCTGCACCATTTTACACTAGCAATGGATGAGGGGCCCAGTTTCGCCATGGCCTCACCAACACCCGTTGTTTTCCATTTTTTTAATCATAGCCATCCTAGTGGGTGTGAAGTGATATCTCACTGTGGTTTTGATTTGCATCTCCCTAATGACTAATGACGTCGAGCATCTTTTCACGTGCTTGTTGGCCATTTGTATATATTCCTTGGTGAAACAGATTATATTCTGAAAGGCAATGTGGCATAGTAAAAAAAAGACCCAGACTAGGAGTATGGAGGTCTGGCTTCCAGTCTCAAGTCATCAGCTAACTAGGTGTGTGAACTTGGGCCAAGTACTTGAACTTTCTGTGTCTCAGTTTCCTCATGTATAAAATGGAGCTAAACTAAAAGATCTAGAGGGTTCTGTCCGACCTTAAAATTTAACTCTCCTGGGTTGAGATGTATTAGAGACATTGCGTGGCTTTAAGGGGACAATGACAATGACTTCATCACTAGTTCTGAAAAATGCAAATTCTACCTCTGAAAAAGTCATTATTGGATCTCATGTTTGTGAAAAATCAGATCATCACTGAAGATACAGAAACCAAGGCAGTATACTGTGTCAAACTTCCAAGCAGTGCTATACACGGAAAACTACAGCATATTTAATAGGGCCCACACAATATAAAGAAGCCCAGGTGGCACAGAGGTTAAAGTACTCAGCTGCGAACTGAAAGGTCGGCAGTCTGAATCCACCAGTCACTCCTCAGGAGAAAGACATGGCAGTCTGCTTCCACAAAGATTTACAGCCTTGGAAGCCCTATGGGGCAGTTCTATTCTGTCCTATAGGGTCACTGTGAGTCGGAATCAACTTGACAGCAATGGATTTGGTTTTTTGGTACACGATATTCACATAAGATTAAAAGAAAGAGACTTTTTAAAAAATGAATGTTTTATGACTGATTTTTGAAATTTTCATTTCTCTGGGTGTTCGCTGAACTTATGTTTCGGTTCCTTAAATGAAAATAGCTGAGTGGGGCAGGTTTCCTCAGAGTTGTAATTCTTACTTTAGAAACTGTCCCTTTTCCCCTTTAATTTGCTCTAGAAATGGTGGCACACGGTCTCCTGCTGGATAGGGAGGATACCAGGCAAAATTGATGACAGGATCTGGGCCTGCGGCCACACTCCAAACTCTTCGTGAATTTTTGAAATTAATCTATATATTTCCATTTTCGCAACAGTCATTCCTGCTATATCATCAGTTTCGCAGATTAAAAATCTGGGACTTTTTTTTTCTGACTCCTGGTTATCCAGCATTCCCCATATCCAACAGGTCACCGAGGCGTCTCTTTGAAATATGTCTTGGTTATTGTCCTTCCTCTTTCTTTTACTTTGTTTCCACACGCGATACCCTGGTCTGTCTGAGGCTCACGGTTGTTTAACCCCTTGGTGGAGGCTTTATATGCTACCAGTCTGATCCTCCTGACACGCCACCTCCATCACAGCGTGCCCTGGTTTAAGAACCTGCAATACTTCTCCAAGGCTTCTAAGACCCAACTACTCCTCCTAGCACTTTAAACCCATTACCTGATTTTAACCTTACTTCCTCTGTTTCTTAATATATAATCCTATCAGTATAACGTTAACTGCTGTAACAAGAGACCCAAAACGCAATGGCTCAACAAAGACAGAAATTCGTTTCTTAATTAGTGCCTGTGTTCCTGTCTGCACCATGCAATCATTCAGATGCTTTCCATCTTGTTTCTCAGCCATACCTGCCAGGGCATTCTTCTCAACTGTGGAGGTGAATCTGGATCAGATGATGTCTTTTTAGCCTGCAGGAAGTCAAAAAAGAGCAAATGAAATGAAGCAGGCTGTCTAGGAATGGGTGGGCACATATCAATATCTACTCAAGGGGAGCTGGGAGTTGTATGCAGTTGGGCAACCAAGTATCAGGCTACACAGAAAACAGCAGTAGTCAGCTAGCACTGGCTGCCTCACACGCACCGCTTCCATCCTCCTGGTCTCTCAGCACTCTCTCTGCGAAGTCTTCTTCCCTTCCTGCCACTTAACTACGTGACATTCACCCTGCTTAAGCATCACCTCCCTGAGTGAGCACCGCAGCCAGTTCCAAAGAATACTGCAGGATGCTGAGGAGACTGGAACCGTTCCCCAACTATTAAAAACTGATCTCTGGATCCCTAACCCCTTTCTTCTACGAGGTGTTTTTCCTCCTTTTACTTTTGTCTTTTACAACCTCTTAAATTCATGGAAGTAGGGTCCAGAGGTCTCAAACAACTAATGTGGTAAGTACACAGAGAGGCGCAGGTTAAGGTGGCCCATAGAGCAGGTGAAACTCACACACAATGGTTGGGTCCAGCCACTGCAACTATTTGTCCTTAAGAAATGGAATGAATACCTTCCTCGCAACAGCCAGCTGAGCAGTCACTTTGCAATACTCGAGCTGGGACTAGGGTGCAGTCTTGCTAAGGCCTAATTCTTATAAAAGAACCTTGTGGCTTCAAGTGATGTAAGGTATCTGCATAAACTGTATAACAGAGGAAAGGGAACCCAGATAAAGGAGGCATCAGAGAGATGCAATCTGGCAATATTTACCTAGAATTGTCTGAGGGAGAGACTCATTGAATCTGATGCATGGGATATTCCTGGTTATTAGAGAAATGTAAAAACACCTTTTTGTGCATGCTGAAGTATTTAGGGGGACACATACCAGTGTCTACAATTTATTTTGAAATACATCAAGAGAAATAAAGTAGATTAATGAATGGATGGGTAGATGGAAGGAAAAATGGCTGGATAGGTGATAAGGCAAGTAAAGCAAAAACAAAACAAAAACCCGTCAATTGTGACTCACAGAGACCCTATAGGACAGAGCAGAACAGAATAGGATTTCCAAGGAGCAGCTGGTGGATTCAAACTGCCGACCTTCTGGTTAGCAGCCTCAGCTCTTAACCACTGCACCACCGGGACTCCAAGTAAAGTAAGGGTGAGGTGTATACAGATGTTCTCTGCAAAATTCTCTCAACTTTGCTGTATGTTTGAAAATTTTTTATAATCGGAAAGGAAGAAAAAGCTTCTAACCTTTTCAAGTGCTTTCACACGTCAAAACTTTACGTTAATTACCTGTCCTCACAACAGGCCTGTGAGGGAAGTATTACATGATTTCCCCCATTTCACAGAGGACCACAGGCACAGAGAGGGTAAGTGACTTGCCTGCTCTCCACTGTGAACAAATCAAGGTTTGTGGGCCTGTAAGGCCAGGGCCCTCAGTTATGGGGCAGAGACGATTCAACAGACTTCTTTTCACAGCCTCCACTAAACATTACTCAAGACCCTTACTCACTTTGCCCTGAACGCTTGCTCACCAGGCAGTCTTCTACTCCTTCCTCAACGACCTGCACCTGGGAAAGGAGCGCCCTCGGCCTCGTGGATGAACTTCACACTGCTCACCAGGTCTCTGACCAAACTCCAGAGCTGAATCTGGTTCTCACCTGGTAGAGAAAACAGGTGTCATCCAGGTGTGATGCTAGGTTTTCACACTCATCCCTGAATTGTGTGCCCTCAGTTCTGGCATTCACCTGAAGGTGGCATGCCTTTTCCGTCCAGCCTGCTGCACACCTGGACTCCTTGATGGGTGCGGATGGATCCGGGGCACCCCGTCACCTCCAGGTGTTTTCCTTAACCTCACCTGACACGATCCCTTGTGTTTCTGGCCCTCCTCTGCTATCTCGGCACTTGAATTTTAAAATCGACTTCTGTGTTATACAGTCACTGGAGTAGTAAGAACACACTCAATAGTATAATTTTCAATTACAAATGCAATTTTTACTTTTGGCTGTGTCATAAAGCGACAGCGGTAAAATTTACTGCCAAAAATACTACTGCATGGCCCCCAGACACCCTTTTAGCTCAGTGGTAAAGTTACCTTCGAGGTTCACTGATCAGCCTGTGAGTGGACAGCCCAGTAAAACCATGAGAGTAACGAGGTACAGGAGTCCAGTGACAAGGCCCAGAAGGCAGAAGGGGAGTAGTAAGTTGATGATAGGGAACACAAAGTAGAGTAAGGATATTGTTGATGTGTTGTGAGGTTGTTAACCATTGTCATAGGGCAACATTTGTAGTAACTGTCAAATGGGAGACTATCTTGTCCTGTAAGCCTTCATCTTAAGTGAGAATAACAGCATAATTAGAAGAGCGCAGTCAATGTCACTTAAATGTGTATGTAAAAAAAATTTTTGAAATGGCATATCTTTGGCTATGTGTATTTTCACCAAAAAAAAAAAAAAGGTTAAGAATTTAGAGGGTTAAAATGTTGTGGGGTTGTTAACCAATGTCATAAAACAGCATGTGTGTTACTGTTACATGAGAAACTATCTGTTCTGTAAGCCTTCACCTGAAGTACAATAAAATATTAAAAGAAGAAAAAAAAAAAAAAATACTACTGCAGTTTTTATGGCATTAAAACATAAATACTCCAAACGAACATCTCTGCGTATACAGGTTCCAGTGGGATGAACGGGTCCCCTGGGACTTGGATTCTTTGGTGGAGTCATCAGTGGAACATGGTAAACTGAGGACTCCAGCAGAGTAAAGGATGTCAAAGCGAGTTGGTGGCCAGAGCTCTGGAGACAGGCAGGGACAAATGCAGCTTCCAGGGCCCTTCCACCACCTGCTGAATTGGAATTTCAGGGCATGGGGCCAAGGAATCTGCACTCCAAACAAGGGCCTCAAATGATTCTTATGACCGCCAAAATTTAAGAACCACGATTCTAACCTTTATGGATGTTTTAGACATCTGGTGGGGTGGTCAGGGATTCCAGAGACCCTGTGAGGGACAGTGCGGCACAGCCAAGAAATGCCCCACGTTCTCGGGGCTTCCAGATGTTTACATGGGTAAAAAGCCTAGGACACAACTGCGCTTTACATAGAAACTGGGCATAGTTTTTACTTGGTTTTAATAGAGGCTGAATTTTCCAGGAATACAACTACTGTGTCAGTCAAGGGAATATACTTTTATTCAGAGACTAAAAAAAAAAGACAAAAAATCATGACTCTGACGACTCACCATTGCAACACTAGGATCAGGCCGCATTTGTGGTTTTGGATTCACAGGGACTCGACGTCCGGGCGAAACCATCAGACAACTTCCTTGTTTAGGGCAGTCATGCCCAAACATCGACTGGCTGAATTCAATATTATTTTATTACAAATTGCTTTCTTTTCATTTCTCCTTGATATTGCTGTTACAGCATTATTCTGATTTGTTCAAAAAGATACATGTGAGGTAGATTATATCTACCACTCTTACTTCAGGCTAGTAAAGGGGTGTTACAAATGTACGCTGTAAAATGGGGGGCACTGATCTGACAAGGTCGAGAACCACTGCTCTTGATACTAAAGAACATGTCTTAAACTTATAAAATCTTTTCTTCTTCATAATAATTCAGATGCCCAAGAAGTCACAATCCTACAAGAAACAAATAAGCCTAATGAGTAAATGGATGTGTCTGGATTTACGATCGCAGAACAATATGAAAGAATGAGAGTAAGAAATAAAAAGGGAAATCATTTTTTAAGAGTTTTTTTCTTCAAAAAACAAACAAGACAGCTGCCATTAAACTAAACAGATGTAACAAAGCTTCGGAATAAAATCAAATTTTGTGGCTTCCCCATAAGATCAGAAGAGCTATCCAAATGCAAGGTGCACAACAGACTAGACGCTGAAGACCACACAGGGTGGGTGGTCAACAACCCGACCGGGCCTGAGGGACACAGGTACTGATCCTTCGTCAGGAAAATCCGTTTAGCGTTTGCTGAGCCCTTGCTATGTGCTGGCTACTGGAAAGAAGAGAATCCCTGCTTTCAAGGATTTTAGTTCCTAGGGGAGTAAAGCACTTGAACAGACAGCTGTAATTCACTGGGGTGAGCAGGATGGCAGACGTGTGCCATTGTTACGTGCACAGAGAAGCAGTATCTAGCTAGGGAAATTTGGAAGGCTTTCTGTAAGCTGCATCTCAAAGCAAGAGGAGGAATAAACCAAGAGAAGGTGTGTCAGAAGCAGGAAGAAGAGGGCAGCCCTAGCAGGGCCTCAAGGTACAGCTGGGCAGGTTGCGTGGCTCTGGCGGGGAAAAGCATCTAAAAATCTAAATTTCTTTAAACTGAGGTATAACATATAGTAAAGTGCATGAGTCCTTACACATTAGCATTGCTCAGTAAATGTTTAACATGTGTAACCCACCACCCAGATCAAGATACAGAGCACTCTAGCTGCTTAGAAGTTTCCCAAAAAGCCCCAAAACCCAAACCTGTTGCCGTTGACTCCAACTCCTAGAGACCCTATAGGAGAGAGCAGAACTGCCCCACAGGGTTCCCAAGACTGTCATCTTTACAGAAGCAGACGGCCATGTCTTGTCCAAGAAGCAGCCATGGGTTCAAACTGCCATCCTTTCGGTTAGCAACCGAGCACTTAACCTCTGCTGCACCAGGGCTCCTTTATCCACCCCCAGAGGTACCCAATATTCTGAACTCTCTAAGATTACAGCCTAGAAAACCCTATGGGGCAGTTCTACTCCATCACATGGGGTTACTATGACATCAAAAGCAACTCAATGGCACCTAACATCACCCTAATTACTTTTATCTGTTTCTGGACTTGATAGAAATAGATTCGTATTTCAAATAGTATGTAGTTTGTGTATGTCTTTTTCCACTTAAAATTGTTTGTGAGACTCATCCATATTGTTGTGTAGGAACAGTACATTCTTTTTCATTACTGGGGAGAATTCCATGGTACGACTATACCACAGTTTACTAATCCATTCTACAGCTGAGGTTTCCAATTTGGGGCTAAAATGAATAAGGGTGCCTTCTACATTCTGATCCATCTTTTGGTGGATATAAGCACTTATTTCTGTTGGGTATTGTGATGATTAATGTTATGCACCGATTGCATAGGCTATAATTCTCAGTGGTTTGGCAAATACTGTGTATCACTCCCATTTTGTAATCTGATGTGTACAGCCAATGAGTCAGAAGAGGAATCTCCTTGGGGGTGTGGCCTGTATTCATTATATAAAAACGAATGTTCTGGCAAAGCTCTCTCTCGATCCTGTATTCATCTCATCATCCTCTGATCTCTGGTTGTTGGGACGTGAGAAGCCAGAAGCCTGCCACCTGACCTGCAGATTTGGGGATTTCGTCAGCCCCTGCAACCACGTGAGTCAGAAGCCTCCAGTCTGCTGCCTGACCCATGGATTTGGGACCTGCCAGCCTCCACAACTGCATGAGTCATTTCCTTGAAATAAATCTCTCTCTATACATTTATATACACACTTCACTGGTTTTGCTCTAGAGAACCCAGCCTAAGACAAGTATATACCCTCGGTCACAGGGTATGTATACTTTAGCTTTAGCAGATGTTCTCAGTTTTTCCAGGTGGTTGTGTCCATTTATAATGCAGTTTTTTAACTGTACTTTAGATGAAGGTTTACAGAACAAACTAGCTTCTCCTTAAACAGTTAGTACACACATTGTTTTATAACATTGGTTAAAAACCCCGTGACATGTCTACACTCTCCCTTTTCAACCTTTGGTTCCGTATTACCAGCTTTCCTGTCCGCTCCCGCCTTCTAGTCCTTGCCCTGAGGCTGCTGTGCCCCATTTGTCTCGTTTTGTCTCACGGGGCTGTCTAATCTTTGGCTGAAGAGTGAACCTTGGGAGTAACTTCATTACTGAGCTGAAAGGGTGTCCGAGGGCCACACCCTCAGGGTTTCTCCAGTCTCTTGTCAGGCCAGTAAGTCTGGCCTTTTTTTTTTGTGAGTTAGAATTTTATTCTACATTTTTCTCCAGCTCTGTCCAGGACTCTCTACTGTGATCCCTGTCAGAACAGTCAATGGTGGTAGCCGGGCACCATCTAGCTGTACTGGACTCAGTCTGGTGGAGGCTGTGGTAGTTGTGGTCCATTAATCCTTTGGACTAATCTTTTCCTTGTATCTTTAGTTTTCTTCATTGTCCCTTGCTCCTAAAGGAGTGAGACCAGTGGAGTATCTCAGATGGCCGTTCATGGGCTTTTAAGACCCCAGATGCTACTCACCAAAGTAGATCGTAGAACATTTTCTTTATAAACCGTTATGCCAATTGAGCTACATGTTCGCCAACACCATCGTCCCCACAACCCCCAGCCCAGTAATTCAGTCCCTCAGGGAGTCTGGATGTGTCTGTGGAGCTTCCATGACCTTGCCTTGTACAAGTTGTGCTAGCTTCCCCAGTATTGTGTACTGTCTTACCCTCCACCGAAGTTACCACTTATCTATTGTCTATTTAGTGTTTTTCCATCCCCACCCCTCCCCTCCCTGATAACCATCAAAGATTGTTTCCTTTTGTGTGTAAATGTTTCATGAGTTTTTACAGTAGTGGTCTCATACAATATTTGTCCTTTGTGATTGACTTATTTCACTTAGCATAATGCCCTCCAGATTCATCTATGTTGTGA